CCTTTAATAGGTAACTTCGTTCTACTCCAGATCAGTGTGTAACTATGGTAACGTGTGTGTCTCTCCAGATCAGTGTGTAACTATGGTAACGTGTGTGTCTCTCCAGATCAGTGTGTTCATGACCCACCTGTCTAACTATGGTAATGATCGTCTGGGTCTGTACACCTTCCTTCACCTGGCTGACTTCATCTCTACCTGGACACACCTCCAGCTAGACACTCTACCTCCTCTACAACTGGCCCAGAGATACTTCACCCTGTTCCCCCAGCAGAGACAGCCTCTCTGGCAGGTAACCCCCTGACCTCCTCTACAACTGGCCCAGAGATACTTCACCCTGTTCCCCCAGCAGAGACAGCCTCTCTGGCAGGTAACCCCCTGACCTCCTCTACAACTGGCCCAGAGATACTTCACCATGTTCCCCCAGCAGAGACAGGCCTCTCTGGCAGGTAACCCCCTGACCTCCTCTACAACTGGCCCAGAGATACTTCACCCTGTTCCCCCAGCAGAGACAGCCTCTCTGGCAGGTAACCCCCTGACCTCCTCTACAGCTGGCCCAGAGATACTTCACCCTGTTCCCCCAGCAGAGACAGCCTCTCTGGCAGGTGTGTGTTGACAGCGTGTGTCTCTGTCTCCCCGTAGAACCCGTGTGATGACAAGAGGCACAGAGACATCTGGTCCAAGGAGAAGACCTGTGATAGGCTGCCCAAGTTCCTGGTCATCGGACCACAGAAGACAGGTACGTACACACACACACACGTTAGACAGAGAGACAGAGAGACAGAGAGCGAGACAGAGACAGAGAGACAGCAAGAGAGAAGAGACAGAGAGAGAGAGAGAGAGAGACAGAGAGACAGAGACAGAGACAGAGACAGAGAAAAGAGACAAAGAGAGACAGAGAGAGACAGAGACAGAGAGAAGAGACAGAGAGAGACAGAGAGAGACAGAGAGAGAGACAGAGACAGAGAGAGGAGACAGTGCATTAACTCCTTTAGTCCGATGAAGCCAGTGGTCTGGTTGTGTTGCTTCTCCTTTAGACTGCTCAGCTCCCTGAGACAGACAGACAGACAGCATTAGTACATACACACACTGGAATACACACACTGGAATACACACACTGGAATACACACACTGGAATACACACACTGGAATACACACTAGTGATGCACGGGTTGACTCATAACCTTTAGTCCCCACAGTTATATCCGCAGGGCGGCTTTAATAAGAGAAAACAATGCATTAAAAAATCCATAAATGTACCATTCTTGTGCAATTTCTATCTAAGGGCTACATTGAGGTTTTTCTTGCATCATTTTTTATCTGGCATTAGTGCGTCAGGCTGAGCTTTAGGGTCCAACTGTATGTAAAATACACGCCGATCGCCAAATGCTTTTTGAGAACTTGGGTAGAAAGAGGACAATATCGGGAGTTTAATTCAATAAGAGAAAATTTGTGAAATGGAGAGTTGAAAATAAAGTAATGTTTGGGAAAGATTTGGTGAAAGTGTTAAAAGAGGATGATAGCAGTGTCTGCTATGTTATGTGTGATGATTGTGAGGCTCTATACAAATTAGACAGTCACAAGACGGGGACTTCAAATAGGCCTGTGGCACGTCAAGGGAACTGTAGCCTACTGTTCAGATGGGTTAAATGGAAACTGACATCTGGACACTGACTATAGGTCTGTAACCTCTCACATAGCCTTCACTGTCTCTCTCTCTCGCTCTGTTTCTCTCTTGACTTCTCCTTCACTGTCTCTCTCTCTCTCTCTGTTTCTCTCTCTCTTGACTTCTTCACTGTCTCTCTCTGTCTCTATCTCTGTTTCTCTCTCTCTTGACTTCTCCTTCACAGTCTCTCTCTCTCTCTCTCTCTCTCTCTCGGTTTCTCTCTCTTGACCTCTCCTTCACTGTCTCTCTGTCTCGCTCTGTTTCTCTCTCTCTCTCTCGACTTCTCCTTCACTGTCTCTCTGTCTCTCTGTTTCTCTCTCTCGACTTCTCCTTCACTGTCTCTCTTTCTCTCTCTCTGTTTCTCTCTCTCTTGACTTCTCCTTCACTGTCTCTCTGTCTCTCTCTCTGTTTCTCTCTCTCGACTTCTCCTTCAATGTCTCTCTTTCTCGCTCTGTTTCTCTCCCTCTAGACTTCTCCTTCACTGTCTCTCTATGTCTCTCTCTCTCTCTTTCTCTCTTGACCTCTCCTTCACTGTCTCTCTCTGTTCACCTGGTGAGAGATTGCAGAGAAAAGAGAGAAAGCGAGAGAGAGAGAAACAGATAGAAACAGAGAGAGAGAAACACACAGAGAGAGAGACTCGGTGCATCAGTGTTGATTGGTGCCAAATGTTTCTTCCTCATTAGATACTGAACCCTGCAGCCACACACAAACACACACACACACACACACTCCTCTGACCTATAGTAACCCCCAGTGTTCCCCTGATGGACAGAATCCTCTGACCTATAGTAACCCCCAGTGTTCCCTGATGGACAGAATCCTCTGACCTATAGTAACCCCCAGTGTTCCCTGATGGACAGAATCCTCTGACCTATAGTAACCCCCAGTGTTCCCTGATGGACAGACTGACCTATAGTAACCCCCAGTGTTCCCTGATGGACAGAATCCTCTGACCTATAGTAACCCCCAGTGTTCCCTGATGGACAGACTGACCTATAGTAACCCCCAGTGTTCCCTAATGGACAGACTGACCTATAGTAACCCCCAGTGTTCCCTGATGGACAGAATCCTCTGACCTATAGTAACCCCCAGTGTTCCCTGATGGACAGAATCCTCTGACCTATAGTAACCCCCAGTGTTCCCTGATGGACAGACTCCTCTGACCTATAGTAACCCCCAGTGTTCCCTGATGGACAGAATCCTCTGACCTATAGTAACCCCCAGTGTTCCCTGATGGACAGAATCCTCTGACCTATAGTAACCCCCAGTGTTCCCTGATGGACAGACTCCTCTGACCTATAGTAACCCCCAGTGTTCCCTGATGGACAGAATCCTCTGACCTATAGTAACCCCCAGTGTTCCCTGATGGACAGAATCCTCTGACCTATAGTAACCCCCAGTGTTCCCTGATGGACAGACTGACCTATAGTAACCCCCAGTGTTCCCTGATGGACAGAATCCTCTGACCTATAGTAACCCCCAGTGTTCCCTGATGGACAGGACTGACCTATAGTAAACCCCCAGTGTTCCCTGATGGACAGAATCCTCTGACCTATAGTAACCCCCATGTTCCCTGATGGACAGACATCCTCTGACCTATAGTAACCCCCCAGTGTTCCCTGATGGACAGACTGACCTATAGTAACCCCAGTGTTCCCTGATGGACAGACTGACCTATAGTAACCCCCAGTGTTCCCTGATGGACGAATCCTCTGACCTATAGTAACCCCCAGTGTTCCCTGATGGACAGAATCCTCTGACCTATAGTAACCCCCAGTGTTCCCTGATGGACAGACTCCTCTGACCTATAGTAACCCCCAGTGTTCCCTGATGGACAGACTGACCTATAGTAACCCCCCAGTGTTCCCTGATGGACAGAATCCTCTGACCTATAGTAACCCCCAGTGTTCCCTGATGGACAGAATCCTCTGACCTATAGTAACCCCCAGTGTTCCCTGATGGACAGAATCCTCTGACCTATAGTAACCCCCAGTGTTCCCTGATGGACAGAATCCTCCGTTTTTTTTCCTGAATAATGGACAGATTTCTCTCCTCTTTTCCTGAATAATGGACAGATTTCTCTCCTCTTTTCCTGAATGATGGACTGATTCCTCTCCTCTTTTCCTGAATAATGGACTGATTCCTCTCCTCTTTTCCTGAATGATGGACAGATTCCTCTCCTCTTTTCCTGAATAATGGACTGATTCCTCTTTTCCTGAATAATGGACTGATTCCTCTCCTCTTTTCCTGAATAATGGACTGATTCCTCTCCTCTTTTCCTGAATAATGGTCTGATTCCTCTCCTCTTTTCCTGAATAATGGACTGATTCCTCTTTTCCTGAATAATGGTCTGATTCCTCTTTTCCAGGAACGACGGCCCTCTCTCTCTTTCTCCTGATGCATCCTTCCATCTCTAGTAGCTTCCCCGGCCCCAGGACATACGGAGAGGTCCAGTTCTTCAACACTAACAACTACCTCCAGGGAATAGACTGGTAATCTATGTTATTATATATCTATGATCCAACTACCACCAGGGAATAGACTGGTAATCTATGTTATTATATATATATGATCCAACTACCACCAGGGAATAGACTGGTAATCTATGTTATTATATATATATCTATGATCCAACTACCACCAGGGAATAGACTGGTAATCTATGTTATTATATATATATCTATGATCCAACTACCACCAGGGAATAGACTGGTAATCTATGTTATTATATATCTATGATCCAACTACCACCAGGGAATAGACTGGTAATCTATGTTATTATATACTCTAGATCCAACTACCACCAGGGAATAGACTGGTAATCTATGTTATTATATATCTATGATCCAACTACCACCAGGGAATAGACTGGTAATCTATGTTATTATATATCTATGATCCAACTACCACCAGGGAATAGACTGGTAATCTATGTTATTATATATCTATGATCCAACTACCACCAGGGAATAGACTGGTAATCTATGTTATTATATATCTATGATCCAACTACCACCAGGGAATAGACTGGTAATCTATGTTATTATATATCTATGATCCAACTACCACGAGGGAATAGACTGGTAATCTATGTTATTATATATCTATGATCCAACTACCACCAGGGAATAGACTGGTAATCTATGTTATTATATATCTATGATCCAACTACCACCAGGGAATAGACTGGTAATCTATGTTATTATATATCTATGATCCAACTACCACCAGGGAATAGACTGGTAATATATGTTATTATATATATATGATCCAACTACCACCAGGGAATAGACTGGTAATCTATGTTATTATATATCTATGATCCAACTACCACCAGGGAATAGACTGGTAATCTATGTTATTATATATCTATGATCCAACTACCACCAGGGAATAGACTGGTAATCTATGTTATTATATATCTATGATCCAACTACCACCAGGGAATAGACTGGTAATCTATGTTATTATATTATCTATGATACATCAAGTTTCATCAAGTCATTGTAAATATAGTCACGTTACCGTGGAAATGGTCTGAATCATGTGTCTTGTCTTTTTGATCTGAATGCCAAGTCTTTAGTCAAGCCGTTCTACAACACAACATCTCTCTCCTTATACGGCTGTTGATCTGAACCAGGCTTTAGAATGTCCTCTCTGTCTGTCTCTCTCTCCCCCTCTCCTCCCTCCCTCCCGTCTAGGTATATGGAGTTGTTCCCGCTCCCGTCTAATGTCACCAGTGACTTCCTGTTTGAGAAGAGCTCCGCCTACTTCCCCTCTGAAGACGCTCCTCGCCGCGCTGCCGCCCTGCTGCCTAAAGCCAAGATCCTGACCATGTTGATCAACCCCTCAGACAGGGCTTATAACTGGTACCAGGTACACCCAGACACAGACCATAACACACACTCCTATTCAACTCATGAGTTGAATTTGGAATTGAATTGGCCAAACCCCACAAGATGTAGAATTTGAGTTTGAGTTTGAGTGACAGCAAGTAGAATTAAATGAAATTGCACTCAGTAACAGAAGATGGGAGTTTTATTGAATCAGGCAGTTCACACTTCCAGAAACCAAACAATATATCACTTCTCTCTGAAAACAATGTTTATATTCTCTTTTAACCTGTGCTTAGAATAGACCATTATATTTCCAACAACCATTTCATTTGGTTGGCTTCTTTTTCCAAGGCTTTAGGGTCAACTTGAGGTTTAACATTTACATTTACATTTACGTCATTTAGCAGACGCTCTTATCCAGAGCGACTTACAAATAGGAACTAATGCATTCTGGGAAATGTAGTATTTCCCCCCCATATTGAACAAAATGTCAGTGATTAATGAAATGTAACAACGTCAAATATTCACATGCAGGTTTTGTCAATTGTTTCATCAATATTTGATCTGCATGTTTAAAACGACACTTATGATGTTTTATGTACAAAATGTACACTGAGTGTACAAAACATTAGGAACACCTGCTCTTTCCATGACATAGACTGACCAGGTGAATCCAGGTGAAAGCTATGATCCCTTATTGATGTCACTTGTTAAATCCACTTCAATCAGTGTAGATGAAGGGGAGGAGACAAGTTAAAGAAGGATTTTTAATTGAGACTTGGATTGTGTATGTGTGCCATTCAGAGGGTGAATATGTTGGTAGTAGGCACACCGGTTTGAGTGTGTAAAGAACTGCAACGCTGCTGGGTTTTTCACGCTCAACAGTTTCCTGTGTGTATCAAGAATGGTGCACCACACAAAGGACAAACTGTGGGAAGCATTGGAGTCAACATGGGCCAGCATCCCTGTGGAACGCTTTCGACACTCTGTAGAGTCCATGCCCCCGAAGAATTGAGGCTGTTCTGATGGGCAAAAGGTGGGGGGGGGGGGGGGGGGGGGGTTATAGACTCCGTATTAGGAAGGTTGTTCTTAATGTTGTGTCACTCAGTGCAGATAAAATTCAGATTGATTCTGTATCCTAATTACTACCCTCAATTCAAATTCAAGAATTCTTGATGTCTGTGTGTTTTGCGGTGACATCTCTCTCTGTTGGTGTGTGGTTTGTCTTGTGTGTAGGTGTTGTGTGTGTGGTGTTGTTGTGTCGTGCTTTTTTTGGTGTGTGTATTCCTGTGTGTGTGTGTCTGCTCTCGTGTGTGGTGGTGTGTGTGATGTGTCTGATGTGTGTTGTGTGTGCTTCTCTGGTCGTCGGGTGTGTCTCCTGTTGTGTGGTCTGTCTCTCTGTGTGTTGTGTGTGTGTGTGTGTGTGTGGTGTGTGTGTGTCCTGTCTATGGTGTTGTGTGTGTGTGTGTGTGTGTGTGTTGTGGGTTTTGGTCGTGTGGTATGTTTGTGGTGTGTGTCTTGTGTGTGTCTGTGTGGTGTGTGTGTGTGTGTGTGTGTCGTCTTGTGGTGTGTGTGTGGTGTCCTGTTGTTGTTTGTGTGTTGTTCTTCTGTGTTTTGTTGTTGATGGTCTGTCCTGTGTGTGGTGTGTCTGTCTACTGTGTTGTGTGTTGGTGTGTGTTGTCTGTGTGTGTGTGGTGTGGGTGTTCTAACTCTGTTGGTTTAACTGGTCTTGACAGTACTGGTCAGTTTGTGTTCATGACGTTATCAGGCGCTACTAGGGTTGCATTCTGCGGCAATGTGTATTTCAGCCCAGAACTGCCCAGGTGATTACATGAAATGGTTAACACACTCATACTTTCAATGCCAGGTTTTCAAAGGTCACAACGTCACCTGCGAATGTTACACACACACCTTTTTCAGTTACACAAATCCCTATCACACCTGGAGAATGGTACAAAACTACCCTGTTAACAGGTAAAACACCAGGACTCCACTATAACACCTGGAAGATGTTAACACACTACCCTGTTAACCAGGTACACAACCAGGACTCCCTATAACACCTGGAGGAGTGGTTAACACACTACCCTGTTAACCAGGTACACACCAGGATCCACTTAAACCTGAGAGATGGTTAACACACTACCCTGTAACCAGGCACCCAGGACTCTCCATTACACCGGAGAGATGGTTAAACACTACCCGTTTAACCAGGTACAACAAAACTCCACTATAACACCTGGAGATTTTTTAACACACTAACCTGTTAACCAGGGTACAACCAGGATCCCACACACCTGAGAGATGGTAACAACTACCGTGTTAACCAGGGTACAACAGGCCACATAACACCGGGAGAGATGGTTAACACACTACCCGTTACCAGGTACACCAGGACTCCACTATACACCTGGAGGGATGGTTAACACACTACCTGTTAACGGTACACCCCAGGTTCCACTATAACACTGGAGAGATGGTTAACACACTACCCTGTTAACCAGGTACACACCAGGACTCCACTATAACACCTGGGAGAGATGGTTAACACACTAACCTGTTACCAGGTACACACCAGACTCCACTATAACACCTGGAGAGATGGTTTAACACACTACCCTGTTACAGGTACACAACCAGGACTCCACTATAACCTGGAGAGATGGTTAACACACTACCCTGTTAACCAGGTTACACACCAGACTCTACCATACACACCTGGAGAGATGGTTAACACACTACCCTGTTAACCAGGTACACACACCAGGACTCCACTATAACACCTGGAGAGATGGTTAACACACTACCCTGTTAACCAGGTACCAACCACCAGTGAGTACCATCCACTATAAACACCTAGAGAGATGGTTAACACACTACCCTGTTAACCAGTGTACACACCAGGACTCTACATAACACCTGGATAGATGGTTAACACACTACCCTGTTTAACCAGGTACACACCAGGACTCTACCATACACACCTAGAGAGATGGTTAACACACTACCCTGTTAACCAGGTACACACCAGGACTCCACTATAACACCTGGAGAGATGGTTAACACACTACCCTGTTAACCAGGTACACACCAGGACTCCACTATAACACCTGGAGAGATGGTTAACACACTACCCTGTTAACCAGGTACACACCAGGACTCTACCATACACACCTGGAGAGATGGTTAACACACTACCCTGTTAACCAGGTACACACCAGGACTCCACTATAACACCTGGAGAGATGGTTAACACTACACCCTGTTAACCAGGTACACACACCAGGACTCTACCATACACACCTAGAGAGATGGTTAACACACTACCCTGTTAACCAGGTACACACCAGGACTCCACTATAACACCTGGAGAGATGGTTAACACACTACCCTGTTAACCAGGTACACACCAGGACTCCACTATAACACCTGGAGAGATGGTTAACACAACTACCCTGTTAACCAGGTACACACACCAGGACTCCACTATAACACCTGGAGAGATGGTTAACACACTACCCTGTTAACCAGGTACACACCAGGACTCCACTATAACACCTGGAGAGATGGTTAACACACTACCCTGTTAACCAGGTACACACACCAGGACTCCACTATAACACCTGGAGAGATGGTTAACACACTACCCTGTTAACCAGGTACACACCAGGACTCCACTATAACACCTGGAGAGATGGTTAACACACTACCCTGTTAACCAGGTACACACACCAGGACTCCACTATAACACCTGGAGAGATGGTTAAACACACTACCCTGTTAACCAGGTACAACACCAGGACTCCACTATAACACCTGGAGAGATGGTTAACACACTACCCTGTTAACCAGGTACACACCAGGACTCCACTATAACACCTGGAGAGATGGTTAACCACACTACCCTGTTAACCAGGTACACACCAGGACTCCACTATAACCACCTGGAGAGATGGTTAATACACTACGCTGTTAACCAGGTACACACCAGGATCCACTACAACACCTGGAGAGATGGTTAACACACTACCCTGTTAACCAGGTACACACCAGGACTCCACTATAACACTGGAGAGATGGTTAACACACTACCCCTGTTAACCAGGTACCACACACCAGGACTCCACTATAACACCTGGAGAGATGGTTAACACACTACCCTGTTAACCAGGTACACACCAGGACTCTACCATACACACCTGGAGAGATGGTTAACACACTACCCGGTTAACCAGGTACACACCAGGAACTCCACTATAACACCTGGAGAGATGGTTAACACACTACCCTGTTAACCAGGTACACACCAGGACTCTACCATACACACCTGGAGAGATGGTTAACACACTACCCTGTTAACCAGGTACACACCAGGACTCCACTATAACACCTGGAGAGATGGTTAAACACACTACCCCTGTTAACCAGGTACACACCAGGACTCCACTATAACACCTGGAGAGATGGTAAACACACTACCCTGTTAACCAGGTACACACCAGGGACTCCACTATAACACCTGGAGAGATGGTTAATACACTACGCTGTTAACCAGGTACACACCAGGACTCCACTACAACACCTGGAGAGATGGTTAACACACTACCCTGTTAACCAGGTACACACCAGGACTCCACTATAACACCTGGAGAGATGGTTAACACACTACCCTGTTAACCAGGTACACACCAGGACTCCACTATAACACCTGGAGAGATGGTTAACACACTACCCTGTTAACCAGGTACACACACCAGGACTCCACCATACACACCTGGAGAGATGGTTAACACACTACCCTGTTAACCAGGTACACACCAGGACTCCACTATAACACCTGGAGAGATGGTTAACACACTACCCTGTTAACCAGGTACACACCAGGACTCCACTATAACACCTGGAGAGATGGTTAACACACTACCCTGTTAACCAGGTACACACCAGGACTCAATACCTCTTCAACAGAACATTTCACGCTGATAGAAGAGATTCAGACTTTACACTTCAATACCTCTTCAACAGAACATGCCAGGATTATAGAAAATTAGCATATTCTGAATCAGCTGACCATAGTGAACCAGTTTCACCCCTTGTTTTTCCAATCCATTGTCGTATTTCCTTTTTGGAGGTGAAATGTAACGTAAATGTTGCTCTGTTCCGCTCAGAGGGTTTAAGGGACCGTCTTAAAACTGCAACGCCTACTTTTGCATGTTAATGAAAAAAATGTCAATAGCTTCTTAACCACATGACATGTAGATAATGAAATTACATGAAAAATACTTCCTTGAAATTAATAACTTCCCACCCTATGTCACTTGGACTTCACCTCTACAATCCACTGCAATTACTTTAGGATTTGTTTACTTTTTTTCAGAAAGATTAGCCGCTGCATGTGCAACATCTAATAGGAACCCTAATAAACAGACGTGTTACATCTAATAGGAACCCTAATAAACAGACGTGTAACATCTAATAGGAACCCTAATAAACAGACGTGTTACATCTAATAGGAACCCTAATAAACAGACGTGTTACATCTAATAGGAACCCTAATAAACAGACGTGTAACATCTAATAGGGACCCTAATAAACAGACGTGTAACATCTAATAGGGACGCTAATAAACAGACGTGTAACATCTAATAGGAACCCTAATAAACAGACGTGTTACATCTAATAGGAACCCTAATAAACAGACGTGTAACATCTAATAGGAACCCTAATAAACAGACGTGTAACATCTAATAGGAACCCTATAAACAGACGTGTTACATCTAATAGGAACCCTAATAAACAGACGTGTAACATCTAATAGGGACCCTAATAAACAGACGTGTAAACATCTAATAGGGAACCCTAATAAACATACGTGTTACATCTAATAGGAACCCTAATAAACATACGGTTAACATATAATAGGGAACCCTAATAACAGACGTGTAACATCTAATAGGGACCCTAATAAACAGACGTGTTACATCTAATAGGAACCCTAATAAACAGACGTGTAGCATTTAATAGGAACCCTAATAAACAGACGTGTTACATCTAATAGGGACCCTAATAAACAGACGTGTAACATCTAATAGGAACCCTAATAAACAGACGTGTAACATCTAATAGGAACCCTAATAAACAGATGTGTAACATCTAATAGGAACCCTATAAACAGACGTGTAACATCTAATAGGAACCCTAATAACGACCCTAAACAGATGTGTAACATCTAATAGGAACCCTAATAAACAGACGTGTTACATCTAATAGGAACCCTAATAAACAGACGTGTAACATCTAATAGGAACCCTAATAAACAGACGTGTTACATCTAATAGGGACCCTAATAAACAGACGTGTAACATCTAATAGGAACCCTAATAAACAGACGTGTTACATCTAATAGGAACCCTAATAAACAGACGTGTAACATCTAATAGGAACCCTAATAAACAGACGTGTAACATCTAATAGGGACCCTAATAAACAGACGTGTAACATCTAATAGGGACCCTAATAAACAGACGTGTAACATCTAATAGGAACCCTAATAAACAGACGTGTTACATCTAATAGGAACCCTAATAAACAGACGTGCAACATCTAATAGGAACCCTAATAAACAGACGTGTAACATCTAATAGGAACCCTAATAAACAGATGTGTAACATCTAATAGGAACCCTAATAAACAGACGTTTTTAAACATCTAATAGGAACCCTAATAAACAACGTGTAACATCTAATAGGGGACCCTAATAAACAGACGTGTAACATCTAATAGGGACCCTAATAAACAGACGTGTAACATCTAATAGGAACCCTATAAACAGACGTGTAACATCTAATAGGGAACCCTAATAAACAGACGTGTAACATCTAATAGGAACCCTAATAAACAGACGTGCAACATCTAATAGGAACCCTAATAAACAGACGTGTAACATCTAATAGGAACCCTAATAAACAGACGTGTAACATCTAATAGGAACCCTAATAAACAGACGTGTAACATCTAATAGGAACCCTAATAAACAGACGGGTAACATCTAATAGAACCCTAATAATAACACAGACGTTGTAACATCTAATAGGAAACCCTAATAACAACAGACGTCTGATAACCATCTAACTAGGAACCCTAAATCAAACAGACGTGTAACATCCTAATAGGAAACCCTAATCAAACCAGACATGTAACATCTAATAGGAACCCTAATCAAACAGACGTGCTACATCTATGGAACCCTAATAACAGACGTTGCAACATCTAATGGAACCCTATAAAGAGTGTAACATCTAATAGGACCCTAATAAACAGAGGTGTAACATTAATAGGAACCCTAATAAACAGACGTGGGTTACATTCTAATAGGACCCTAATAACAGACGTGTAACATCTATAGGAACCCTAATAAAAGACTGTGTACTCTAATAGGGACCCTAATAACAGACGTGTACATCTAATAGGAACCCTTTAACAGACGTGTTTGTCTAATAGGAACCCTTATAACAATAGTGTAACATTCTAATAGGAACCCTAATAAACAGACGTGTAACATCTAATAGGAACCCTAATAAACAGGGCGTGTTAATCTAATGGAACCCTAATAAACAGAGTGGTACATCTAATGGAACCCTAATAAAGAGTGTAACATCTAATAGGAACCCTAATAAACAGACGTTTTAACATCTAATAGGAACCCTAATAAACAGACGTGGGGTTTCATCTAATAGGGACCTAATAAACAGACGTGTCATCTAATAGTGAACCTTTATAACAGACGTTGGGAACTCGTAATAGGGCCCTAATGAAACAGACGTGGGAACATCTAATAGGAACCCTAAGAACAGACGTGAACATCTAAGGGCCCTAATAACAGACGTGTACATCTAATAGGAACCCTAATAAACAGACGTGTTTCATCTATAGGAACCCTATAAACAGACGTGTTACCATCTTAGAAACCTAATAAACAGACGTTAACATCTAATAGGAACCTAATAAACAGACGTGTAACATCTAATAGGACCCTAATAAACAGACGTGTAACATCATAGGGACCCTAATAAACAGACGTGTACATATATAGACCCTAAAAACCCGACTGTTACATCTAATAGGGACCCTAATAAACCAGACGTGCACATCTAATAGAACCTAAAACAACGTGTAACATCTAATAGGACCCTAAAAAACAGACGTCTTACATCTAATAGGGACCCTAATAAACAGACGTGTTACATCTAATAGGGACCCTAATTAAACAGACGTGTTACATCTAATAGGAACCCTAATAAACAGACGTGCAACATCTAATAGGGACCCTAATAAACAGACGTGTAACATCTAATAGGGGACCCTAATAAAACAGACGTGTTACATCTAATAGGGACCCTAATAAAACATACGTTGTAACATCTAATAGGAACCCTAATAAACAGACGTGCAACATCTAATGAGGAACCCTAATAAACAGACGTGTAACATCTAATATGAACCCTAATAAACAGACGTGTAACATCTAATAGGGACCCTAATAAACAGACATGTTACATCTAATAGGAACCCTAATAAACAGACGTGCTACATCTAATAGGAACCCTAATAAACAGACGTGCAACATCTAATAGGGACCCTAATAAACAGACGTGCTACATCTAATAGGGACCCTAATAAACAGACGTGTTACATCTAATAGGGACCCTAATAAACAGACGTGTTACATCTAATAGGAACCCTAATAAACAGACGTGTTTACATCTAATAGGAAACCCTAACAAACAGACGTGTTACATCTAATAGGAACCCTAATAAACAGACGTGTAACATCTAATAGGAACCCTAATAAACAGACGTGTAACATCTAATAGGAACCCTAATAAACAGACGTGTAACATCTAATAGGAACCCTAATAAACAGACGTGTAACATCTAATAGGAACCCTAATAAACAGACGTGTAACATCTAATAGGAACCCTAATAAACAGACGTGTAACATCTAATAGGAACCCTAATAAACAGACGTGTTACATCTTATAGGAACCCTAATGAACAGACGTGTAACATCTAATAGGAACCCTAATAAACAGACGTGTAACATCTAATAGGAACCCTAATAAACAGACGTGTTACATCTAATAGGGACCCTAATAAACAGACGTGTAACATCTAATAGGAACCCTAATAAACAGACGTGTAACATCTAATAGGGACCCTAATAAACAGACGTGTAACATCTAATAGGAACCCTAATAAACAGACGTGTAACATCTAATAGGGACACTAATAAACAGACGTGTTAAATCTAATAGGAACCCTAATAAACAGACGTGTTACATCTAATAGGAACCCTAATAAACAGACGTGTTACATCTAATAGGAACCCTAATAAACAGACGTGTAACATCTAATAGGAACCCTAATAAAACAGACGTGTAACATCTAATAGGGACCCTAATAAACAGACGTGTAACATCTAATAGGGACCCTAATAAACAGACGTGTTACATCTAATAGGAACCCTAATAAACAGACGTGTTACATCTAATAGGGACCCTAATAAACAGACGTGCAACATCTAATAGGAACCCTAATAAACAGACGTGTAACATCTAATAGGGACCCTAATAAACAGACGTGTTACATCTAATAGGGACCCTAATAAACATACGTGTTACATCTAATAGGGACCCTAATAAACAGACGTGTTACATCTAATAGGAACCCTAATAAACAGACGTGCAACATCTAATAGGGACCCTAATAAACAGACGTGTAACATCTAATAGGGACCCTAATAAACAGACGTGTTACATCTAATAGGGACCCTAATAAACAGACGTGTAACATCTAATAGGAACCCTAATAAACAGACGTGCAACATCTAATAGGAACCCTTATAAACAGACGTGTAACATCTAATAGGAACCCTAATAAACAGACGTGTAACATCTAATAGGGACCCTAATAAACAGACGTGTTACATCTAATAGGGACCCTAATAAACAGACGTGTTACATCTAATAGGAACCCTAATAAACAGACGTGTAACATCTAATTGGAACCCTAATAAACAGACGTGCAACATCTAATAGGGACCCTAATAAACAGACGTGTTACATCTAATAGGGACCCTAATAAACAGACGTGTTACATCTAATAGGGACCCTAATAAACAGACGTGTAACATCTAATAGGAACCCTAATAAACAGACGTGTAACATCTAATAGGAACCCTAATAAACAGACGTGTAACATCTAATAGGGACCCTAATAAACAGACGTGTATTGTAATATACTAACATGTTGACTGTGTGTAGTATGTTGTAGTAATGTGTGTGTGTGTGTGTGTGTGTGTGTGTGTGTGTGTGTGTGTGTGTGTGGTGTGTCTGTGTGTGTGTGTGTGTGTGTGTGTGTGTGTTGTGTCTGTGTGTGTGTGTCTGTGTGGTGTGTGTGTGTGTGTGTGTTTTGTGTGTCTGTGTGGTCTGTGTCTGTGTCTGTGTCTGTGTGTGTGTGTGTGTGTGTGTCTGTTGTGTGGTCTGTGTGTCTGTGTGTCTGTGTGTGTGTGTCTGTGTGTTGTGTGTGTGTGTGTTTGTGTGTGTGTGTGTCGGTGTGTGTTGTGTGTGTGTGTGTCTGTGGTGTGTGTTGTGTTGTGTGTTGTGTGTGTGTCTGTGTGTGTGTGTGTTTGTGGTGTGTGTGTGCTGTGTCGTGTCGGTGTGGTGTGTGTGGTGTGTGTGTGTGTGTGTGGTGTCTGTGTCTGGGTGTGTGTGTGGGTTGTGTGTGGGTGTGGGTTGTTGTCTGTGTGGTGTGTGTGTGTGTGTGTTGTGTGTGTCTGTGTGGGGTGTGTGTGTGTGTGTGTTGGTGTGTGCTGGGTTGGGGGTTGTTGTGTGTGTGTGTCTGTGGTGTGTGTGTGTGTTTGTGTTGTTTGTGTGTGTGTGTGTGTGTTGTGTTTTGTGTGTTTGGTGTTGTGTGTGGTGTGTCTGGTCTGTTTTTCTGTGTTTGTGTCTTTTGTTTTGTGTGTGTGTGTGTGTTGTGTGTGGTGTGTTGTGTGTAGCTGATGGTTCTGGATGGACAGCATTGAGGAGAGATCCAGCTGCAGTGATGGATGAAGTCCAGAAGTTCCTCGGAGTTACTCCTCATTACAACTATTCACAGACTCTCACGTACGTCACACACACACACACACACACACACACACACACACACTACACTCTACTCACAGACTACACGTACGTCACACACACACACACACACACACACACTCTCTACTCACAGACTCTCACGTACGTCACACACACACACACACACACACACACACTCTCTACTCACAGACTCTCAGTACGTCACACACACCACACACACACACACTCTCTACTCACAGATCTCACGTACGTCACACACACACACACACACACACTCTACACCTCTACTCAGACACAATCTGATGATTATTTACAATTGAGATTTCACATGGATTTTTTGTTTTTTTTCTTTAAAAACATTGGGTTTGATGTTGCTGTGTTGAAATGTGCAAATAAAGTTATACACTACTTGTATTCGATGAAAAAGCGCGGAGAGGAGAGAGAGCGGCGAGAGCGCGAGCGAGGAGCAGAATGTATATCTAGAGAGAATCTATCTGGGCTCTGAGAGAGGAGGGGGATAGCGGAGGGGGACTCGCTATCGCTATCTCTCTCGCTATCTCTTTCCTATCATCTCTATCTCTCTATCACTACCCCTTCCTATCTCCTCCCCCACCGCTCTCTCCCCCCCTCTCTGTCCAGGTTTGACCAGCAGAAGGGTTTCTGGTGTCAGCTTTTAGAAGAGGGGAAGACCAAGTGTTTGGGGAGTGAAGGACAGAAATACCCTCCCATGGAACCAGAGGTAACGCACAAAAATACTGACACATGCAACTACAGTCATACCAGAGGCCGCGGTTTTGCCATGGTGAAATTTCCCACAGGGCTTTGTGCAGGCTGGAAGATGTCAGCCAATCAGATCCTTGCAGGAAGTTATAACCTCATTATGAAACACAAAAACACACACCACACCACATACCACACACATACACCATGCCACACACACCACACCACACCACACACCGTACCACACACACCATTAAAATGTATTTCCAGAGAGAAAGAGGGACACCAATAGAGAGTGGAAGGGAGAGAGGGACAGAAAGAAGATGAATTGAGGATACCCTTTATCTACCCCCCCCCCCCCCCCCCCCCCCCTCCCCTCTCTCTCTCTCTCTAGGCACGGTCCTACCTGTCCAGGTATTATCGGGAACACAACATCGACCTGTCCAAGCTTCTCCACAGACTGGGTCAGCCTCTCCCCTCTTGGCTCAGGGAGGAACTACAGAAGATCAGTTAGCAGGGTTAGAGGTTAGGGGTCACCGGCTGGGTCAGCCGCTCCCCTCCTGGCTGAGAGAGGAACTACAGAAGATCAGATAACCTCTAACCCTACCGGCAGCCCAGGTTCAGAGGTCAGGTGTTAAGGGTCGCGGGGACCATTAAGAGGCAGAGGGTCGTGACCTTTCTGTGACCTCCCAACCCCGTGGTGAACCTGAGGATGGAAGAGAGGTCATGAACTCTGTCCTGGCATGACCTCACAGAGGAGAAGAGACACTAGAGAACTGATGTATGGATGGATAACTGGACAGGTGAATGGATGATCTCTGACCTCTGAGAGAGATTAATGGAGGTTTGCCTGACCTCTGGAACAGAACTGTGTGTTTCAGTTAATGGACTAGAGAGAGAGAGAGGTGGATTGTCATCATATCACCTCTGCGACATCTTGAACACTGTTCTGTTCAAAGGATCCAAAGACCTGATGATCTGTAGTTGTGGTTCTAGAATGAACTGGAACATAACAGAACTTGGAGCTAAAGCTCAGAGACAGAGATATCCCCAGAGGAACCCAACCAGACACAACACCCTCTATAGCCTGGTTCTGCATCATCATGTAACCAGGAAGTGTAACCAGGAAGTGTGCTGTGGAATCTAAGACCTGTGAGCTAAACCAGTCAGCTCTCTCTCTGTCTGAATACAACATGTGTCACCCTGTTCCCCACATAGTAGGCCACTACATAGGGACATGGTGCTAAGTGGGACAGAACACTTTTGTAGACTAACCAATCTCATGTATTTGTCATGAACTCGTCTCAAATAAAATAAAATCTAACTATCTCATACCTCAGATTTGTTTCATAGACTGATGCCTCAAACTTGTCTCATTCAAATCAAATCAAACTTTATTTAAACATGTTATAGTCAATCCTCCCTGTGTGTCGTTTCATCCCAGTGACACTAGGGCTGGGTCTCAATAAGCTGTTATCAGTAACACTAGGGCTGGGTCTCAATAAGCTGTTATCAGTAACACTAGGGCTGGGTCTCAATAAGCTGTTATCAGTAACACTAGGGCTGGGTCTCAATAAGCTGTTATCAGTAACACTAGGGCTGGGTCTCAATAAGCTGTTATCAGTAACACTAGGGCTGGGTCTCAATAAGCTGTTGTCAGTAACACTAGGGCTGGGTCTCAATAAGCTGTTATCAGTAACACTAGGGCTGGGTCTCAATAAGCTGTTATCAGTAACACTAGGGCTGGGTCTCAATAAGCTGTTGTCAGTAACACTAGGGCTGGGTCTCAATAAGCTGTTATCAGTAACACTAGGGCTGGGTCTCAATAAGCTGTTATCAGTAACACTAGGGCTGGGTCTCAATAAGCTGTTATCAGTAACACTAGGGCTGGTCTCAATAAGCTGTTATCAGTAACACTAAGGGCTGGGTCTCAATAAGCTGTTATCAGTAACACATAGGGCTGGGTCTCATAAGCTGTTATCAGTAACACTAGGGCTGGGTCTCAATAAGCTGTTATCAGTAACACTAGGGTGGGTCTCAATAAGCTGTTATCAGTAAAACTAGGGCTGGGTCTCAATAAGCTGTTATCAGTAACACTAGGGGCGGGTCTCAATAAGCTGTTGTCAGTAACACTAGGGCTGGGTCTCAAAAAAGCTGTTATCAGTAACACTAGGGCTGGGTCTCTATCGTATCAGAACTAGGCTGGTCTCAATAGCTGTTTTCAGTAACACTAGGGCTGGGTCTCAATAAGCTGTTGTCAGTAACACTAGGGCTGGGTCTCAATAAGCTGTTATCAGTAACACTAGGGTGGGTCTCAATAAGCTGTTATCAGTAACACTAGGGCTGGGTCTCAATAAGCTGTTATCAGTAACACTAGGGCTGGGTCTCAATAAGCTGTTATCAGTAACACTAGGGCTGGGTCTCAATAAGCTGTTATCAGTAACACTAGGGCTGGGTCTCAATAAGCTGTTATCAGTAACACTAGGGCTGGGTCTCAATAAGCTGTTATCAGTAACACTAGGGGCTGGGTCTCAATAAGCTGTTATCAGTAACACTAGGGCTGGGTCTCAATAAGCTGTTGTCAGTAACACTAGGGCTGGGTCTCAATAAGCTGTTGTCAGTAACACTAGGGCTGGGTCTCAATAAGCTGTTGTCAGTAACACTAGGGCTGGGTCTCAATAAGCTGTTATCAGTAACACTAGGGCTGGGTCTCAATAAGCTGTTATCAGGAACACTAGGGCTGGGTCTCAATAAGCTGTTATCAGTAACACTAGGGCTGGGTCTCAGAGAAACACACAGGTGCATGTTGTGATGGAATGATGCAGTGTGAATATAGAGATATATTCAATAAACAATGCTGAGATACCACTGACTTCACCAAGACTATTTATTCTGTGTGTCTGTAGCCCTGTTTCTGATGAACTATCATGACCTGAGAACTAGATGAATATATTCTATCAGATGCTGCTGCAGTGGGAATCTACCTGTCTCTTATTACAATCACTTTGGCACTAATTTCAGAACCTTGACGTCATTTTTCAAAACTCTAGACATAAAACTGTCATTTACATTTTAGTCATTTAGCAGACGTTCTTATCCAGAGCGAATTACAGTTAGTGAGTGCATACATTATTTGTATTTATTTATTTTTTTCATACTGGCCCCCCGTGGGAATTGAACCCACAACCCTGGCGTTGCAAACGCCATGCTCTACCAACTGAGCTACATCCCTGCCGGCCGTTCCCTCCCCTACCCTGGGCCAATTGTGCGCCGCCCCATGGGTCTCCCGGTCGCGGCCGGCTACGACAGAGCCTGGATTCGAACCAGGATCTCTAGTGGCACAGCTAGCACTGCGATGCAGTGCCTTAGACCACTTGTAACACAGGCTGTCCAATGTTCAAAACATTGCATTGTGCATTCATATCTTTAAAGAAATCTTGCATTTGCACAATCATCGGTTCAAAAAACAAATTTATTGTGAAATACCAATGAAACGTTAATTTAGATCACCCACACGCAAGAAACCGATAGTTTCACTGTGTCATTTTTGTACTACAATATTTAATGATTGTACGAACATAGGTGATGTTTCATTATGGTACTACGTGTAAATACATCCCTGTAAAAGTACTGCAGTAGTAGAGAGAATACTACAGACACAGTGGAATCATTGAACTAAATCTGAAATATATTGCTGAAAAACAATACAGTACTGTAAAACATCAAATGCAGTGTTCCTCAACTTGCTTGTACTGTAAAAAGCAAAAACCTAGGAGTGATTACTGTACTTCTACATTTTCATCAACTCTGTCTTGTGGATTTGGCCACAGGTTCTCATCTACATGAGAACCATGTGGTCCTCTGTAGCTCAGCTGGTAGAGCACGGCGCTTGTAACGCCAAGGTAGTGGGTTCGATCCCCGGGACCACCCACACACAAAAATGTATGCACACATGACTGTAAGTCGCTTTGGATAAAAGCGTCTGCTAAATGGCATATTATTACATCACAATGGATGTTTTCATCAGCCAAACATCTTGGAAAAAACCTTTGGGCGAATCCAGGCCTGACACTGGTCTGCCGTGATGTCATTGCATGCGTCATCCATGGCCTGGAGAAGAGTGACTTGTTCATGAGGGCGCCTATCATAAACCTTCCATCTCCATGCGGAGAAAAAATTCCTCAATCGGGTTAAGGAAAGGAGAGTATGGGGGTAAATCTAGGGTGGTAAATTGTGCATGGGCCTGAAACCATGCTTGCACCAAATGAGCATGGTGGAACCTGACATTATCCCACACAATGACATAGGTCACGCCATCGGCTCTACAGACCTGATCGAGCTCATCAAGGAAGGTTACAAGGAGAGCTGCATTATATGATCCAATACGAGGTCTGCGTCCCACCACACCATCTTCTGATATAGCCGCACACATGGTAATGTTGGCCCCACGTTATCCAGGTACTTGGATGGTTGCCCGCTGGCCAATGAAATTCCGACCTCTCCTCCTTGTCTTGGCCAGGTTAAAGCCTGCCTCATCCAAATATATGAATTTGTGATGGTTGTCATCAGCATCCAGCTCCATCACCCTCTAAAAATACATTTTGGAAAGAGATTTACTGATTACTGTACAATGTAGAATTATTAGGGAATTTTATGACAACAGCCATCTTGAAACTGAACATACCTGAACATACTCAGTCCTCATTTGCTTCACACTGTCTGCATTTCTTTCAAAAGGCACACGGTATAGTTGTTTTAAAGACACCTGGTGCCTTTTCAGCATGCGTGCAATAGTCGGCAAACTTATGGATTCCACATTGTGAAACATGTCTTCATTGTCCAAGATATGCTGGCGAATTTCTGTAAGGCGAATATCATTTCTGGCCCGAACCAAATCGACCACAGCCTGCTCTTGTTGGTCAGTCAGAATTTTGCCTCTGCCTTCCCTATTTGGCCTAGTCTCAATTCTACAGGAAACATTACAGTAAGAAGACACTTGGTCACATCACCTACTCTGTGATGCACATTGGTATGCAGTCATTTGACAATTGAGAGTAGCATAATGTTTAGTGCAATGCTGACGACTTACCGGTTCTCATTGCGGAAAGTTCTGATTATTGAGGCCACGGTTGACCTTCTGAGGTTTGGTTGTGTCATTGTAGCCGCCTCAGTCATTGTCATGCCATGATTTACGACATGGTCTACAACTATTGCTCGGATTTCATTGGACACTCTTTGCTGTTGCTGCCGCTGTCTTGGTCCGTGGCCTTGTCCTCTACCACGTTCCCCCCCAACACCTCTCAAAAACGAGGCCCACGACCACCTCTCAGAAGGGGTGCTTGTCCCCTGCCATTCCTTTGACCAACACGTCTTCCTCGTCTTCCTCCCACCACTGCTTGACCTCTATTGTGACCTGGATCACCTGCCGGCTCCATGTTACAGTACGTATTGCTATATTGTTGCAAGTGGATCCCAATCAATTATTTATATACTCGTTCCACAATGTGAACTCAATAAATCAGTAACAAGTTGGCAGAATTGGACAAGCAATTACAAGGGCCTGCATCCATACAGTGCAGTACTGTCAATACTGTAAATAGTCTGAAAAGGTGGTACATGGGACCATAGAAACGGTGTCTGATAAAGAATGATGATGAAATATTACATCCATAAATAATGTAGTCTAATTGGTTCATGCTCCACGCTAATTGGTGACAATGAATCTCGTTATCTTGAAAATTTCATGATCTAAAATGGAATATTGTTTTTCTGTTTCCCCTAAACTATTTCCCTTTAAAAGTTTAAAGCAAAATTAAACCCCATTTTTTGTCTCCTGATGGCGCGGGTGGTCTAAGGGAAATGAAAACGCCCGTGTAAATTTTGCCCCTAGATCCCGGGTTTTTAATCCAGGCCTGTCGCAGCCGGCCGGGAAAGGGAGGGAGGGCCT